TTATAGTTATATCCTCTTAGCATAGTAGAGAACACTGACCTTAATTTAAGAGTTTGGCTCTTAGTACTTTGAGTGGTGTCTCATAGGTATATTCTCTTAGCATAATAGAGAACACTCACCTTACTTGAAGAGTTTGGCTCTTAGTACTTTGAGTTCTGTCCCCTGGTAGTTGATACTCACCTTACTTTAAGGGCTGATCTCTGGGTAAATATTGTTTCCGTTAATTAACTAGTGAGTTGCCTTTTAATCTAAGTACAGTCTAGGAAACTTACCATTTATGTTAGGTTGTAATAATCTGAATCATTGTGAAGTTGATTCCTTAATTCTAGTCGACTTACTTGTTGACACTTTAATGTATCAGTGAACTCCTAGTAGCTGAAGTTGGGTTTCATGAGAATAAGATAGTGTTGATAAGTGTATAGTGTTCGAGAATATTGTGGAGAGTTGTCTCCCTTCTATCAATTATAAACAGAAATAGGGACTGTTGTGGCACGGACTTAGATAGTCCGAATAATTCTGACGTTTTATCGACTTTTTTCATATCGGTCTGTCGTCGATTAACGTCAGTACTCCGGCCCTCTTTAATATACGGGAAATATGCGACCCGCGCCCGGAGCGCACTTCAAACTGATATTTTAGAAACAAATCGTCACTTTCACACACATGTCGCACATGGATCGAAAGATCTATTCTTTATGCACAAGATGAACATACATAACATGCCTCAATCAACTAATACAATCACTAAAAACATATTTTTTCAAACTTACTCAGTTTTACTCTAGTTTTTTTTATAGCCCCGCCTTCCAATGCCACGTGATTAAAATCTCGCCAGCTTACGTCATAACGTTGGGAAATACCTTCGGTAACGCGAGATCTCGTCAAGTCATGTGACATTTCTCATGGCCTAATTTCCATAAAAAACATGGGTTGGTAAAGAAAACGTTGGAAAATGCTTTTCGTAATGGTCTTTGAAACATGTTATTGATACCACCTAGTGTATAAAGAATAGATCTTTCGATCCATGTGCGACATGTGTGTGAAAGTGACGGGTCGCATATTTCCCGCATATTAAAGAGGGCCGGAGTTCTGACGTTAATCGACGACAAACCGATATCAAAAAAGTCGATAAAACGTCAGAATTATTCGGACTAGGACTTAGATAACTAATCTAATTCCGTGGTTGTGGTAACCTTCAACTTTATTAATCACTCGTCATACATATATTTTGGTGAATTCATGTTGTGTAAATACTGAGAACATTCCTTATTGCCATTTATATAATAATTGTCTTATTGTTGAAAAGAGTTGAATTACATGTAGGGTGAGTCTGGAGTGAAAGATAGTGATTATTGTGATTCATTTGTACATATTCATAACATGTTGTGACTTTTAAATAGAATATTATATATTTATAGACCTGGATTTCTGTCTTGAGTTTTCTATAAGTCCGAGTCACTACTGGCAAACTGGTAAATTAAGGCTGCAGCTGTAAGAGTACCTGAAGTAAAGACTTGTAGTCTACACCCACAAACTAACAACAGTAATACGACTGTACAAATATAATTGACGGAGAACCACAATACGGGTGTAGGTTTAGTCACGCTACCAAATCGCTGGAAAAACCACACCCGTGGACAGGTTTTGTTACAGTTAGTTGTCGTTGAACGTCGATCGGAAGCTTGAGCTTGTAAAGACGTCTAAATATCCTCTTCCGAATTGATACGTTGATGTCAAAATAGCCTGCCATCAACGGGCTTTGGTTGCGCAGGGATTAAAACTATTTACACTGTATCAAGCTTTTACACTATATTTTATTGTGAATAATTGTTTATTATAACATTAATTTATGTATGTTTAGAATATTTATATATATTCACTCAAGTTTACTATGGGAGGTAACTAACATTTTAGTGGTATTATGTTTGTTACCGTTTCTTTTCTTTTAATGTTAGAGATCCCATGTGGTTCATTAATGATAAAAGGAAGGACAGAACTTCCTGGGGTGATTCCTCCACAGCGCGTTTAAGTTTGACTTGAACTCGTTTAGTGTTTTTGACGACACAGTTTCCTCGGGTAGACTGTTCCAGACCTTAATCACTCGGTTACTAAGGACATTCCTACTAGTGTTTAGCCTGAAAGGTTTCTTGAATATTTTTTTTTAGAATGACCTCTAGTAATACTAAGTGGTGTAGGACGAAACATTCGCCCATAGTCTAACTGGTCAATCTCGTTCGATATTTTATACAACTCAACCACATCTGCCCTCTCACGCCTGCATTCCAGAGATGGTAGACCTAATGTTCTTAAGCGTTTCATGGTTGGTCATATTCTGGATTTCTAGTACTCTTTTAGTGGCCCTTCGTTGTACATTTTCGATAGTTTTTTTGTCCTTATTTAGATACGATGACCACACTTGCGTAGCGTATTCCAGATGTGGACGGATAAGGGACTTGTACAGGGTGGTGAAAAGAGCTATATCCATAAAAATGAAAGTTCGAAACAGTATACCTAACATTTGGTTAGCTTTCGACACTGCCGCATTGACTTGGGTTGAGAATTTTAGGGTGTTGTCAAAGTGAACTCCAAGGTCCTTTGCTTTGGCTACTTTCTCTATTTCGGTTGTTTGTCCGTCTTGCGTCAGATAGTATTTTGATGATTTGGGGTTGTTACCAATCTCCATATGTTCGCACTTCTTGGTGTTTAGCTTCATGAGCCAGCTGTCAGTCCAGTTACTTATTTTGTTGATGTTTATTTAAAGTTGTTGTCTCTCTAATTCTGTTCGAGTTTTTTAATAGAGTTTGGTATCGTCCGCAAATAGTTTGGTTATACAGCTGAAAAGTTCAGGCATGTCGTTGACGTAGATCAAGAATAGTATCGGGCCAAGGACGCTTCCCTGGGGGACTCCACTCGTGACTGGAAGACTTGAGGATTTTTGCTCCGTTGATTATAACTCGTTGGGTCATGTCTTTTAGGAATTCCTTAGTTCAGGCTAAATTTTTACCTCGGATACCATATTTATAAAGTTTGTATAGTAGTAAGCAGTGGGACACTTTGTCGAACGCTATGCTGAAGTCAAGGTATATGATGTCCACATTGTTCCCATCATCTAATGCCTGTGTCCAGTCTTCAATGACCTCTAGTAGTTGTGTGGTACAGGAGTGGCCACTTCTGAAGCCATGTTGGTGGGGGGTGAAGAGATGGTTCTTGTCCTTGTGTTTTGAGATTGCATCTCGAACTATGCGTTGTAGAATCTTGCATGGAACTGATGTCAAGCTGATAGGTCTGTAGTTTCCCGAGTCACTTTTAGAACCTTTTTTGAATATTGGTGAGACATGAGCCTGTTTCCGTGGATCTGGTAGGGTTCCTTCTTGAAAGGATCTGTTAAAGATGATTGTTAGGGGTTCTTTTAATGTTTCTATTGTTTTTGAGACGAAATTTGGATGGATGTTATCTGGGCCAGGAGATTTGTTTGGATTTGTTTTTTTTCGTTGCTGCCAACACAAGATCTTCTGTTACTGATAGGTCGGTAAGCACGCTATCGTATGGTCTTTCCTCGAACTCAGGCAAAACTACTTCTCTGTCGTCAACAAATACACTAGCAAAGAAATTGTTCATAATGTTGGCCGTCTCCAAGTCGGAGGTGGTAATTTCTCCTTTATCATTTTTGACTCTGGTGATGGACGTTGCTGTTTTGGTTTTAGTTCTAACATATTTCCAGAACGGCTTTGGGTTTGTTTTGATGTTGTCCGCCAAGTCCTTTTCAAAGGTATATTTTGATCTTCTAATTAGATGGACGCTTCGATTTCGCTCAGTCTTATATTTTCTGAAGTTTTCTATAGTTTTGCAGTGGAGATATTTTTTCAAAGTTGACCTTTTTTTTAATAGAGTCTCTTGAAGCTTTGTTAATGTTGATTTTCCTTATTGGGAGGGATCAGGAGTTATTCCTCACTGGTACATTGTACATGTTTCTTTTTTTATTTAAAAATTTCTTCCAAGCCTCCTTGACGTCTGAACATCTATCAAGTTCATGAGAAACTATTTGTTTGAGGTCTTCATTGATTTCCTCATAGTCTCCTTTGTGAAAATTATGTTTTATAGGTACCCGAATTCGTTCTGCTCGTGGAACTAGAAAGTCGAAGGTTAGTACTAGATGGTCACTTTTCCCTAGTCCATTATGATAATTAAAACTTTCAACCATTCCCTCTTCATTAAAGAGGATTAGATCCAATGTTGATTGTGTTTGTCCTTCTCTGTATCTGGTCGTTTCTGTGACATGTTGGTACAGGAAGTTGTCCCTTAAGCACTCTAGGAAGAGTGTCGCTGGATGCGACTCACAAACGCTGGTTGTGTAATGGTTCCAGTTTATCTCTTTGTAGTTAAAATCCCCTACAATAAGTATGTGTGAGATTGGTTGACTACATATGTTGTCGCATTTGCCACAAATGTTTTCCAGATCTTCTCTAGAACGCTTTCTGGAGGCTAAGGGATCTCCAAGGTTATATACGTCTCGGGCCATGCCAAGTGAACACAAAATTCAATAAAAAAAATAAAAAATAAAAAGTTTATTTATACTGGCACATCATGCTGAGTGATCACACGATATTCTTTTATTTGATTTATTTGGTTTATTCTGGCACGAGTACCATGCCGAGTGATAACAGTTAAATTATAGCTATAGAAAAAACTGGCACGACAACCAATGATGCCGAGTGGGAACCAGTAACGTTAACGTTACAGTTGATTGTGAAATCGGAGACATATAGCTAAATTTAGTCGCTTTAAAAACAGACTAGCTAGATAACAAACTGGAAACCAGAATTAAGCATATAATAAAAGCAGAATCATGAACATAAACAGAACTGAACGGATCATAGTAGAATAACAGGTTGTACAGTAATGTATTGACTGCTGTTCAAATGTCGCGGGAAATTAAAATGATAGGAACTCTCCGATGTATCATCAAAACGTTTTATTTTGGCAGTCCTAAGGAGAAACGTTTTACTGACACTGATGGTACACAAAAATACCCGGAAAAGCCCAAACACCGGTCTCTGTAAATTACAAAATCAAGTTTGCATGGTCAGTTGCATTTTGGAATAGCTTCAAGTCAGAGGTAAATCGAATAGGCCTGTTTTGTCATCAAGGGTGGACAGGTTATGGCTCTATGCGTCTCTACATGTAGCTAAGCGTACTGTAAATGACTATAGGGTACGCACATTTTAGTGCTGCAGGTGTCCCTTTTCAAATTGCAGTCATTTAGTGATGTTCCAAAGTTTTCTAAATTGGGTTATGCTTTCCTGCTGAAAATGTTAAGCTAGCATATTTAATTAAATGAACGTTCGTAAAACTGTGACTTTATTAACAATAATCTTATTCGTGTTGCTTTCTCAGATCTTATTCAGATATCGATCTCTAGTCAAATGATGGCTGGATTCTTCAAGCAAGTTGTCGGTGGAATCAAAGGAATTGTGGATGCAGCCTCGGCCAACATCAGCCCTTTTAAAGTACAAGTTGCTAAACCTGAGGATCATTCGGGGTAGGTCAAATAAAAAAGATATAAATATTTTGCGTAACAGATTTTAATTTTACATAGGATAATGGTCGAGGCGTCGCCTTCTAGCTTCCATTCAGAGGGAATTTAAATTCAGCTTAGTGGTAGCTTAATTATAGAGCATCTTGACTAGAATCGGGGGTTTGATCTTGTGGAATCACATTACTCTCTTTCCTGTTACAAATGGTGTCTGTGGCCTGTGGTGACGGATCTAGGCTGTTTCGCCCTAAATCCCGTTCACACTAAGTGTCATTTCGCCCTAAAACCAGTTCGCCCAAGGTTGTTTCGCCCTAGTATGAATAAATGTCTTAAAGTGATGAACTTGAGTTGAAATGTTTTTAATTATAAGAAAAGCTTTCTGTTTCATGTTTTACCCCAAAGTTAGGTCTAAGTCTGTGGTTTTCACCAGCAAATGTCTTGCCGAAAGAATTCCATGCTATATTGTATGTGCAGATCTGGTTGACCAAGTACCCAACTTAGACAATATTAGCCATACACAACTATGAACAATGTTCGAGGCCGAAGACATTTAAAAAGTGGAGGGGGGGGGGGGGGGGGGGAGGAATCACACTACTCTCTTTCCTGTTACATAAATAATAATAATAATTCAAGGTTCTTATATACTGCTTTATCACAACCTAGTTCGTGGTCGTCTCAAAGCGGTTCACAAATTATTATCCGTGGTTATAGGGCCTTTGCAACCAGTCAATATCTTTCTCAACTCCCTGGGGGGCATACAACCGGTGCTGCCATTTCGGCACTCACAGCTAGCATTCAACAATTCTAGCACTGCCCAACCAAAAACTCATTTACAGCCGAGTAGACTAGAACAAGTGGAGTAAAGTGTCTTGCTCAAAGATAGAACACAGTGCCGTGTCGTGACTCGAACCTGCATCCTTTCGGTCACGAGCCCCACGTCCTACCACTAGACTTCCATACCTCCTCATGAATATATGTTTATATATGGCAAATGCTTGGGGAAAATGAGTTATATATATGCCAAATCTGACATCTTAGCATATATTACTGATATTCTGTTTCATCCAACACATTGAACTAAAACTAGGTACAGTTGTTTGATCAAACAACACAACGAATTTACCATGTGCATATCGGTTCAATAATTGGATTTTACTGTCAGGTACGTGTATATATATACAGTACTAGTATGGGTCAAAGAAGTAATATAGACGGTAAAATCCCATATAACACTGGATCCTAATGGAGGTATGTCCATAGGATACGAATTACTTAAAATAGTATATGGGGCAAAGACGTAATTCCAACAGTGTTGACAAGTTAGGTTGTCAAATTTTCGGAGCGATCTGTTCCTTTATCAAGACACAGTGAAACAGAACAGTTACATGTACATATACATCTTAATATTAATTATTACAAGAAGACACAACTAATATACTATAATTGAATACAGTTCAAGTACATATATATATAGTGAATTTAATGGAGTTTATCGGTGATTTGACAGTTATTAAAACACAATTGGACTCTATCTGTGTTAATTATATTGTGTCTGATACGTTTCAAGCAGAAATTTCACACCTTCTTCACAGTAGTTGACTAGCTAGAGTGATACATAAAGTGGACATGTTATCTAGTGAATGATATTTCTCTGCTGAGCAATACATTTAATCTTCATCAAAGACATCACATTTAACAATTGCAGCAGTGTAAGGTCGTTTCGCCCTGAATCCGGCTGGTTTTGCACTAAATTGTCCTGCCCTGAAAATATTTTTTGGACGAAACTTTTAAGTCAATATACTGTCTCATTTGAAATTTTCATAAGTCTCCCTTAGTCTTTTTGTCATTAGACTTGTGTAGTTAACCAGATTTGCACATATACAGAACAATGTAGAATACACCAGCATGAAATTCTCCCGACATCACAATTGTTCGTGTAACACTAAAAACTTTTTTAAATTATTGAAAACATTTCAACTGATATTTATAACTTAAATATATGTTGATATTAGGGAGTTAAGTGCGAACAGGATTTAGGGCGAAACAACCTGGATCCTAATGTATCATCCACAAGTGGTTGTGAAAGAACCGTTGATTTTGTCCTGACATATTCTAGGGTTACAGAGAATACATTTGCTTCCAGATCTTGACCTGAACCCTTCGGTTTTGAGCATGGCTCATCATATGCATCGTCTTTTGCTCTGTTTCTCAACTGAATCGCTGTTGATAGTCAAAGCGGGAAGAGACCTGCAGACGTTTTTTTTATTAATTTACGCAGAATTTTTGTCAATATTTTTACATGTAAAATGTGTTTAATACATGTCAATGTGTTTTGTCCCCACAGATTGACCATAAAGAACAATGACGGCAATGTGACGCTTTTCCGTAGATCTGGCAGCTTCGAATGCGTGGTCTACACCGGTACCAGAGGAGTACAAAGCAAGGTGTTCAGGTAAGCATGGTAAAGTATCTGTTATGGATCTCCATACCAGTTGCTAAAATATGAAACTATTAGTGGTGTAACAGTTTATCATACTATCGATAGATTGCGATTGTACACCTCTCGGTACGAGCCCAAATGTGCTACAGTTATTTCCAAATGGATGGGAGGTTACTGTATATAGGAAAAATGGAAGTGCAGTGGGAAAGAGATCCTTAACTGTTCAGGGCTTTTTCTTTGTGAATAAAGAAAAGCCCCCCCCCCACCCCACCCCACCCCACCC